TGGTATTCCAACCGGAACTCCATCAACAAACACATTGAATTAGATCCCGTGTACAAACCACTGAGAAACAAAACCGGAGTAATACCAACCACCCCAGCAAACCGAGGCATATAAATAACAAGTGGGACAGAACACTGACGCTTCGCCGGAGGTGCACTGACCATGTTACCTAGCAGGATGACAAAACGTTTGCAACCAAACCCACCAGCTTGGTGAGCAGGTCTACAAACTCGTCCACAACCCGAGCTACAAATCTTCTCTAACTTTAATCCTAAATAAATCTAGTGTCATTTGCCAGCACTTGGCCCTTATCCCTCTAAACCCTTTCTATTCGTACACCCATCCAGATGCCTTTAAAATGTTGTAATTGTACCTGCCTACACTAACTTACTCCGACAGTTCATTCCATACATGCGTCACTCTCTGTGTGAAAAAGTTGCTGTTAGGTCCCTTTTATATCTTTCCCCTCTCACCTTAAACCTATCCCCTCTCACCTTAAACCTATCCCCTCTAGTTTTGGACTCCCTCACCCTGGGGGAAAAAACCTTGTCTATTTACCCTATCCATGCCCTTCATGATTTTATAAACCTTCATAAGGTCACCCCTCGGCCTCTGAAGCTCCGGTGAAACTTTCCAACCCTGGCAACATCCTTGTAAATTTTTTTCTGAACTCTTAGTAGTTTCACAACATCCTTCCTGGAGGAGGGAGACCAGAATTGCACACAGTACTCCAAAAGTGGCCGAACCAATGTTCTGAACAGCAGCAGCAACAACACCAACTCCTATACTCAATGCACTGATCAATAAACTTTGGTTAAGCCACAGCTGGAGTTCTGTGTGCCATTCTGGTCACCACACTGTTAGAAAGATTTTGATTGCACAGGAGGGGGAGGGGGGGCGGTGCAGATGGGGGCGGGGGCATGTGGAGATGATTCACCAGAATGTTGCCTGGGCTGGAGCCTTTTGACATTGAGGAGAGGCTGGGTAAGCTTGGGTCGTTTTCTTTGGAGCAGAGAAGGCGGAGAGGGGACCTGATTGAGGGGCATGGACATGGGTTAATAGAAAATAGCTGTTTCCCTGAGTTGAAGGAGGGAGTCGATAATTTTAAGGTGAAGGGAAACAGATTTAGTGGGGAGTTGAGGAAAAAATGTTTTCACTCCAAAGGGCTGTGGGGTCTGGAATTCACTGTCTGGGAGGGTATTCATTAAGAGGTACGTGGGTGAGCACTTGAAATGTCATAGCATTCGACTTGTTATATGCCAAGTGCTGGAGAATGGGATTTGTGTAGATTGGTCAGTGCCAAATGGATGCGCTGAAAGGCCTGTTTTGTGTGACTGATTTAATGTCAGTGCCTTTTATTGTCATTTCTGGCTTCATGTTTTTATGTATTATGAAGTGTTGTAGAATACACAGAATGTTCGTTTTCCTGCCCTGTATGCACGTTTGCGTGTGTGTGTGTGTATGAGAGAGATCAAAGTGTCTGTATCATTCAGTCTTCACAATGACAGTGGTTGGTCTTGCGGGAATATAGCTCCCACCTGCTGTTGAAATCGAGAATAAAAGTCATCGAGAGCAAGGACTGTTCGACTTCACATTATTCTCCCTGCCTTGGAGTAAAACGAGTCCGTGTTGAGCTTTGGATGGCCTTCACTCTGATGCGTGTGCTCTTTTCTCTGCAGTAAGTTTGTTCCTGAGGGTTCTCAACGTGTTGGACTTGATCCCAATGCTGCTACTGAACTGGAGTCTGTGGCTTTCCTCCGCCCAGATGGGTGTGCCGTCATCAATATCCTGAACTGGTGAGAAGCTGCTGTTACAATTTAAAAACTCAATTCGTTCTCATCAGCTCATCATGTCTGCCCTGGTAAACAAAGCTCTAATTACATGAATCCTATTTTCCAGTCCTCAACCGGTAACCCTGGAGGTTTTGGCAGCACAAGTGAATATTTAAAAACGTTCTGAGTATCTGACTCAACCTCCTGACAGCCAGAGAGTTCCAGACTTCTGTTCTGAGTGAAAATATTTCTTCTCAACTCTCCTTTTAATTTAATACCTTTTATCATAAATCTATGCCCCTAGGTTATGGACCCCTCTACAAATGGAAAAACTCCCTTTCTATTCACCCTCTCTCATACTCTAGTACACCTCTTTCAGGTTCCCTCTCAATCTGCACTGTTCCAAGGAAAAGAACTCCAACCTATTCTCATCCATATGTCCTCATAGTTCTCCCTACGCAGTATCCTGGTGAATCTCCTCTGCACATTGTCAAGACCAATCACATCCTTCCTATGATGTCGTGACCGGAACTGCACACAGTACACCAGATGTGGCCTAACCAGCATTTCATACAAATATAACATCGTTACCTTGCTGTTACCTTTATTAGCTGAGATGTATGCCATGTGCCTTCATAGCCCCTTGCTCTCCCTTTGATCTTCAGTACTTTCTAGGGTCGTACTGTTTATTGTATAATCCCTTGCCTTGTTAGCCCTCTCCCAAGTGCATCACTTCACAGCTAACTATTGACTAGAAAAGTCTCATTGTTTATGTTTGAAAAATAGCTAGAACCTGCTAACTCCGTCAGGCAAAGACATTTAAAGTTCTAAAATATTATCTGTGTAAAGTTTTGAAGCTGTTCTTATGGTCTTAGTTTCATTCAACATCCAGTCACAAGAGTAAAGAGAGAATTACCTGCCTATTTTCTGCCTGCTCTTATGTAATATCAGGCTTCAATTTTGATTAAACAGCTCCTCTGCCAGTCTGTCTGCTTCTGGAATCTTTCTGCTCTGACTGCTCCTTTTAACCGCACTGCCACAGCTCCAGAGTATCCCACAGATCCACTGCTGGTCTGTCTGCTTCCTTCGTTTAGATTTACGGCCCTGTTCCTCAGTGGTAATTTAGTATCTCTTATTCCACACTCTTACAGGCAGTGTGTTCCTGGTCACTACCCCTCATTGTATTCCCCCAGTGCAGTCATGCCTAAAACTTTACAACAGTGTCTCCCAGTCCTTATACCAGCCAGGGCTGAGGATGGGAGTATACGTTTGGGTCCAATAACTAGTGCCCCTTGTGATTAGCTCAGGCTGGAGCCACTACAGAAACCTCTAGTTTTCACAGATTCAAGAGTAATTGGATAAATCTTTCTGAGGAAGCAGATGATGGGTTATTATTTTTCTAACTTTGAGACCTAGTAGTTGAGGCTGACTAAGTATTTTCAGTCCCGCATGTCAACAAATATTTTTCTTTCCCTCTTTCAGGAGCCAGAAGGATATTGATTTTGCGATCTGGGACCCTGAGCATGGCTTTATCAAAGCACATTCACCTGCAGAATCTATCCAATCTTATTTATGGAAATGGCAATAAATCGTTTTTCACAAACTGTCAAAGTCAAGTCATCCCTGATGTATAGAACCATTATGTCTACAATGCTGTTAGTTACATGAATACTGGTTAGTGTATGCTTTGGTATATTCTTCTCAGGGGATTCCCCTTCCTCAGCTTGCATCGAAGCTACATTACTCCTTTCATAATCAATAAGAAACATTGGTACTCCACTTGTGCTAACAGCAGGGGAGGCCATTCAAGTCCTCGGGTCTACCCTGCAATTGGCTAAGATTATGGCCCTGATCCTCTTCGACTAAATGTTGGTCATGGGTCTTACCAGACCATAGTGCTGCTCTCTTGTTAGAGACAACTGGTGATGGTATAACCTGAGGGTCACCACACCTCAGGCAAGGGGAGATGTTGAGAGAGAGAATTGTGCATGGCAACCTCAGCCAGTACAGAAATTGAACCCACACTGTTCGTGTAACTTTGCATTGCAAATCAGCTGTCTAGTCAACTGGTGCGGCCATTAGTCGAGATCTTTTTACTCTGTAAGAATTTCTAGTAGCTCCGCCTAGACACCTTTGAAGAAGGGAACTCATCCTATTGAGTCAAAAATGTTTTTGTTTCTGTCTTAAATGGGTGATCTCCTAATTTGTCCCTTCGGTCTAGTTTCTCCAATAAGGGTAAATGTCCTCTCAGCATCCACCTTGTCTAGTCTCCTCAGGATTATTAATATTGTAAGATGATATTGACATGCAAAAAAATGTGTCCACATTGATGGGGAAATGTTGGTTTTAGTGAGATGCAGTTTAAACAACTATTGGTGTTTTTGGGAACTAACTTGTGAATTTGGATTAATTAAAAAGATGGTGGTCACAAAGGATGTTGTTTGCATCAGAAGTTTCAATGACTATCGTCACTCGAGGTAACTGTGGATTGCTGCAGAATGGATATAATGAAGCTAGAGACTACAAAAATATCATTTAAAAAATTGCACCTACACTCAGATAACTGAGCATGTTTGTGTGTGTATGGACATAAGCCATAAATTAGGACTGAACAGCAAGAGGAGAAACAAACTTCTATGATCAAGACCTCTCTCTCTCACTGAAATAATTCTATAGCATAGCCAGATGACAAAACTAACTTGCTACAGTTGGTTCTGCTAATTGGCAATAACATGACTGACAAATAGGGGAACGCTGTTTCTAAAATGCGAACTTGTGTTGGCTATAACGTGATTCCATCGGTGCATGGAGAAGTACACATCGACATCACGTGATCATTTTGCAGGTATTATTCTGACCATGTACAATGTTAGTACTGAAAAGATCTTCGCGCAGGCATCACAAACTTTGTCGTGAAGCAATTTTCTGAGAGAGGTGCAGTACTTTGTGATTTTTGTGAGGGCAAAAATGCAAGGACAAAGTGGCAATGTTAGCAAGTAGCGTCCTGGTGATAAAATTGCAGGTGGTGAACATTAAAAGGCTATAAACGCTAGAAGAGAAGCTAGATATTATAACGGGTTTTGAGTGTAATGAGAGAACATGTGATATAGTCTGCGTAGCAAGAATAAAGGAGTCTACCTTATGCACCATTAGCGACAATGCAGAAAGGATTAAAGCAAGCTCTATTGCTAGAACAAGTCTGAGGCTAGTAAATCTGAGGTCACAGTCAAAGGAACGTGAGGAGATGGAGCAGCTTCTACGTGTGGATAGAAGATCAAACGAGAAAGCAATCTGGGACCAACTTTCTGACCATAAAAGAGACAGCCTTATCATGAAAATCTAACAAAAAAGCTGATAATCCGGCAGATGTGCCTGCCTTTAGTGCTAGCAGTGGCTGGTTTGCTAGTTTGAAGAACTGCTCTGCTTTTCATAACATAAGGTTATGTGGTGACGTTAAGTGCAGATGAAGAGCATGTGATGACATTTCCTTAATTGACAAAGAAGGCTACATCTTAGATTTGCTTGAGTCCCACTGTGAAGACCTCTACAGCTGATCTACAACAACTTGTCACTGAGGGGGAAGTGGAAGCTGGAAATGAAGATGAAGAAGTCCAAGATGCAGCACCAAGACAGCTTTTCACTTCTGTTTTTGTTTTCTATTCTGAGGGAAATTGAGAAGCAGCTGCAGCCCTTAGAGGACAACAGTTACAATGCAGAATGTAGCAGGGTTGCAGTTTGTGGAATAAGATCTTATTTGGTGTCCTATGAACAGCTTCTTCACGAAAAAAGATAAAGGGCAAAGCAGCAAAAACTGGATGTCTTTTTTAAGACAACCCCCAACAAATAGTCAGACCACAATGGACCACAGCCATCCACTTCTCGATTTAACTATTTCTTGCCCTAACCCTGCAACCACAACTGCACCTGAAAGTGATGATGATGATGGCGACAACCCTCAGCCCTGCATTAATAGAAATCTGAAAACCTCCACTTCCATCAAGTCATCTTGACATTTTTTTCAAGATAAGGTGTTAAATTTACTTTAAATTCATATCTAACAATGAAATAAACAATTATTCAAACGGTGCTATCCTTTGTGTTAGGCTTTTGAGCGACTTTGAGTGGTATGTTTTGGTGTCTGCCTCTAACCCTGCTTTTCCCATAGGCCCTGTTACGTCTATAGCATGATTTTCTATAACGCGATAGTTGCACAGGAACACAACTATCGTGTTATAGCAGAACCGACTCAGTTAGAAAATGTGTTCTTTGTCATGATCAAAGCTCAAATTAAAAGAAATGTTTCTTGACATCTTAAGTATGTTCGTGACACCACTCATTCAGTTTGCGAAGCTTGTTTGTTTCTGCTGGGGACCAGTCATCCCAAATGTTCCGAACAGATTTGGTGTTGCACACCCACATGACCGTAGCAAAACAAAGTGTGACAGAAACAAACAGGAAGCAACAGTGTAGATCAGTGAAGAAGCTTTTGAAACAGATTTTTGGGGCATGGGACCATATTCTGGGGACAGATAACTTGCACTTAACGCTGCTAGTCCCATTCTGCATCATGAGAAGATTTCCTAGTAACCTGGCAGGGGTGTGGGATCCAGAGAGAATGGTCAGCAGGACAGCAGCAGGGTAGTGGAAATGAATAGTCAAATTTAGAAGAGGTAACAAGGGAGTCAAAGGTAGGGATCTTATAGCCCAGTTAAGGCACAAGGGAGTTTGGCAAGATTAGATAGTATTTATTTTAGTGCAAGGAATCTGATGAACAGGACAGGTAAATTGAGGGCACAAATGAAAACATAGGGATTTGGTGTAATTACTGTGACAGAGACACAGTTAAAAGAGGGGTAGAATTGGCAGCTTAATATTCAGGATGCAAGTTCTTCAGGTGAAACTGGGAAGGGGGGCGGTGTTGTAGTTTTGGTCAAGCAATCTATTACATCAGTAAGATGGAATGACATTTCAAACTTTCGTTAAATGAAGCCACATGACTAAACCTTAAAGACCAGAAAGGAGCAATCATATTACTAGGAATTTGGATGCACAAGAGTTTAAGAACTTCAGGGAAGTTATGCTGGAACTATATAAAGTTAGTTAGGCCACAACTATTGTTTCCAGTTTTGGAATACGCATTTTTATGGAAGTGATGTGATTATACTGGAGATGGAGGTTTACCAGGATACTGCCTAGGCTGGTAAGTTATAATTATGAAGAGAGATTGGACAGGCTGGGATTGTTTTTCTTGGAGCAGAGGAGTCAAACAGTATAATTTTATGAGGTTCATAGACAGAATACACAAGAAGAAACATTTCTCCTTGGTGGAGAGATCAACGAGCAGTGGGCAGAGATTTAAGGTGAGGGAATAGAACACTTTTTTCACCCAGAGCGAGAAGGTAATCTGGAATTCAGTGTCCATAAGAATGATAGAGGCAGAAGCACTCATAACATTAGAAACATATTTAAATAGTCTTGTATGCTTTGGCAGCACAAGTATACATGAGCCAAGTGCTGGAAAATGGCATTAGAATAATTAAATAGTTATTTTTGACTGGCAGAGACTGGGTGAGCTGAAGGGCTTTTTATGTGCTGTAGATGATTCCAGCTGGTGCTGGAGGAAAACCCAACAGCCCACACGTGTGTCAAAACAAACAAAAAAACTAACCATTGATGGCTGATGGAAATCTGAAACAAAAACAGAGAGTGCTGGAGAAACTCAGGTCTGGCAACATCTATTGAGAGAAAGCAGAGTTAACTTCGAGTCCAACCTGACTCTTCAGGGAATCTGAAGAACAGTTGAGTTGTACTTGAAAGATTCTCTCTCTCGGAGTTTTGAATTCTGTTTTATTTTCACAATAACAGCAATGCTGTTCTGTGCGCAAATTTGGGTGGCTCTCCGTTACTGATGACTCACAGAACTGTAACGGTGCAGAAGGCGGCTGTTCAGCCCGTCGTTTGCCGAGAACAGTATGATGTTTGGACTGAAATGTGATCATGTGCAACCTCTCTCTGTCGCCATTAAAACGGGCTCCTTCCCTGCAGCCACCCTCCGCAGAATCCAAGTGAAGAACGATCAAGACATCGCCATTCTTCAGACACTTGGCCCTGACTCTTACCCTATCCTCTAGTGACCATCCCTGTGGCAGG